TAATTTTAATGCTAAACCAACAGGTTTCATAGCTCCAACCAATCTTGGCAAGAACATATATGACACTAACCCAATTCGGCGATTAAATTTGATGAAATTTCTGATAGACAACGGAAGGGGCTTTGTTTTCGCCGCAACAAGGTTTTTGCTCCCGGTCATTGTTGCAAGAAGTTATTTTCGATATTTGTTAGAGAATAAAATATAAAATATTAAAAAGACCATCACCTATCACCTTAAGGTTTTGGGTTGAAGTGGTTCTTTACATGGTATCAGAGCCTGAGTGACCATAAGGTTGCGAGTTCGATCCTCACCCCCCCCCCCCCCCCACTTTCATATGGAATTAAGAAAAGCACAAGGCAGACCAAAAAAAAAATGGGCTTGTGTCATTTCCACACTTCTAGCCCAAAGGGCTATTGCGTGAGGGGTGTGTTAGAAAATAAAATATAAAATATTAAAAAAGACCATCACCTATCACCTTAAGATTTTGGGTTGAAGTGATTCTTTACAATATTGAAGTTGATTCAATTACTTGATCTCACTCAGGAGAGTAATTTTAGGGAGATGAAATATTACGATTTTGTTATTTTATTATTTTCTAAATTGTTGGTGTATTTTGAGTTAGTGGATAGATTTAGATAGTTACTAGGTAAGTGCTATACTGGGTAGTTTATTTTAGTTCAATATGTTTAGTTGACATATTGGGTAGTTATTATTTTCAAATTGTATTCTGTCTATTTAAACTTTCATCACATGGAATAAGAACTTTCATCACATGGAATAAGAAATTATCAGAAGAATTATTTAGAAAAAGCATTCTGTGCAATAATTTTTCTCAATAAAGTCATTTGGGGTCACAACTGGTGTATTGAATTTTATCACAATATAGTCTTTCAACACAAAATATTCTTATTTAATTTGTTTTTAAACAATTATCCACAGTTAATTTTATATATTAATTGCACGGGGTAAGTCTCGTACATTAATCATGCTAGATTTAGTATGAATATGAAAGTATTGCATGACAATCGTACGAAACACATCAAGTCCCACACAACAAATGCTAGACCTAGTGCCATTGTGGAAACCCCTCGCAACAAACGTACGAGATTCTTTAAATTCCGCATTGCAAGTATAATGCGTGACTTAGGAGAGAGGAATGAAAAGAGAAAATAAGAAGGTTTATATATATATATATATATGGGATATATTTTTCTTATGTTGTAGGAAAAGAATTACCTCATGTTGTAGAAATAAAAGTATAAGTGGGACCCACATGTAAGAGGAGAGAGAAAAAAAAATGGTGGGACCCAACTCCTTTTTGTGTGTGTAGGAGATATGTTTATCTCATGTAAAATGAGATAAACATAACCCTATATATATATAGGGAAATAGATCTATCATGTTGTAGGAAATTGGTTGTGTCATGTTATAGACACAACCAATGTGGACCCCGCCACTTTCTTTTCTTTTCTTTTTATTTTAAAAGTGGTGGGGTCCACATTGGTTGTGTCTATAGCATGACACAACCAATTTCCTACAACATGATATATCTATTTCCCATATATATATATATGAGGTATGATCTTTTGACATCAGTGTCAAATTTCAAATTTGAGACCTAATTGATAGCCGTTATATTAAAAAAGATCAATGGTGTCACATGCTTGCAAATCAGTCTCGTTGATCTTTTTTGATCTAACGGCTCTCAAATGAGATGTTAAATCTGAAATTTGACACTGGTGTCAAAGGATCCTACTTATATATATATGGGAAAAACTACTCTTATGTTACATGATATAATTTTCTCTCCTACACACCCTTCGATAGTTGTGCCATCTTTTTCTTTTTTTTTTCTTTTTATTTTTCAGATGGTGGAGCCCACAAATTTGTCTCTATATCATGAGATAACTTATCTCCTTTAACACGAGATTAATAAAACTATATATATATATATATATATATATATATATATATATATATGTGGGCTTATCATTTCTCAAGCTGCTTAAGATAATTTTATCTTCGGCTACTAAATCATAACCGTATAAAGATGGATCAATGCTGATAAAGGAAGAGAGAGAAATCAATGGTGATAAAAGAAGAGAGAAAAAAAAAGAATCATAATCATTCAAAGGTGAATCGATTAAATAAAGAAATAAATAAATAAAACAACGTAGTTTTGGGATGGCCGAAAATAAACTTATCTCAAGTTGTCATGTAGTTTTGGGATGCCGAAGATATACTTATATCAAGTTGTCGAAGAAATATTTTTCTTTATATATATATATAATTGACTTGTAGGACTTGTTTCGTATGATAAATATGGAGGATTGACTGTATTAATATGAAAATAAATTAAATATATTTTTTTATGAAATTCCATAATTACATCCAAAAAAACCGTCGGATGTTAGTTCAGTGAGTGACAAATTAAGAAATCAAAAATCTAAATAAAACGAGATCAGATTACAAGTTTGGTTGATGTTAGACCCGACTATATCATAAAACAAATGCTACCAACTTACTTGATTTAATTCAAATTTTCAAATTAGTTGCATTGAACACTCCTACCAAAAAGGAGGTCACCGTTTCCTCCAACGCAACCGTGTGTCAAATGTGAACGGACTTGCGTACACGTCATTTATGTGCTGGTGTGCTTGTGAACTCAAACCTCTTTTAGCAACCTTTAAATTCAGGTAGATTTAAAATTTGGGCACGCGTCAAGGTTTATGGCCAAACGTCATCATGCTAGCTACGTATGTATTTCAGTGCCACAAAGTGATGATTTGTGAGAGAATAATGTTCCCTGCAATGCATTAATGCAGCACTCTTGCTACTCTCTCCGGATGCTAAAGTTACTCAACCAAATACTTATTTGGGGCTGGAGTTTTTCTTAACATTAACTATTGTGAAAAATGAAATTTGAAGAAACTCTTATATATATTTTTGGTGAAGACAATATTTTTACTTAAAAAAAAAGTCACTACCTTTTTAATCACTATTAGTTAAAAGAGAGATAATACTGAAAAGGTTCTAAAGAGAAAGAAAATGTTAATCAAATGGTGATTAGATAGATAGTGAGTTGGTAGTGAATTTTTTAATAGTAAAAATATCCTCCTTCTTTTTTGGTTTATATAAGTTTTCTATATTAAAATATTTAATATTAAATAATCACGTAATTTTTTGTAACACACATATTTTATAGTTATAATGATGATATGTTTTTTGTTTTTTGTTAAGAATTAGGTATAGCTATCTAATTTTCAAAGAAACAAAATTTGTTTAAATCTTAAAAAATATAATTGATGGAAGAACTTTTTAATCGTGACAATGTCTGAAAGTTTAGTCACCTAACTGTGTTGTTAGAATGTCATGGTTAATTAAAAACCAAAAATATATACAACTTGTGTGCACTAGATGCACACACTTGGTTTGTATTTTATTTGACTTTAATTTGATATATTTATTAATAACTATTAAAATATCAAATTTTTCATTTTATCTCTTATTTTTAACATTTTATGAAGGAAATATTTGAATCATGATGTTAAAAAATAAACTAATTTTTTTTTTATAATTATTGATCAAAATATATTAACTAATTAAAAAATATAAAACAAGTCAACCGTTTCCTTAAGCTTCCTTATTGATCAAGTAAATTAGTTAAAAGTTAAAATACCTCTATTGCCAAAGCACATAATCCACACACCCTTTGTCTTCTATCCAAAAGAACCATGAAAATTGGGATTGCCTTAAGCAATAGACTTAGAAATTTAAAAATGGAATTCGATATTGAATAATGACTTAAGGAGAATGATTAATTAAGGATTGAAACATAATTAATTAAATAACATGTATAAATATATAACATATTAAGAACCATCAAACATTTAATAATTAATTAGAATGATTTAATAAGAAAATATTCAATATTTCTTAAATAGTATAAGATTTATAGGCTTAAAAATATTGATTTATTGAGATTCCCGCACCACAAGTCCAAATGCGTAAAATAGCATTTTTGAAAGCGGTTGATATATAGCATAACTCTCTGTCTTCCAAGTTTAAATTTCATATTTAAGTGCACTTGGCCACTTGTTCCAATTTTATAAGATAATTATTTTTAAAGAACTATTTTTAAAATCTGTCTTCAGATTTTTTTTTCCCCACATAAAACTAACAAGTAACAACAACCATTAAAGGACGTAAGCCTTACAATTGTCAAATTCATGCGTTTAAAAGTTTTTAAGTCCGATGATACTTTAAGTATTAAAAATTATCTAATCATATTTAATATTAAAAAAACTTTATATCTTCGTAAAATTTTATCTCATAATTAAAATTTATCTTTCCTTTCTATAAATAATAAATCTCACAGCTGGCATAAGGTGGTTGAGTCACGATATGAAACATCTGTAAGAAAAAAAAAATAGTAAGCAGAAGTTGCCATTTTTTAATTAAGTTTTAATATATTAAATTACATATTATTTTTTAATTAATTATGGTAATTGCAGCACCTATTAGGCAAACAAATTTACTTTTTGGCAAATTGCCAAATTTATTATCAGTTGTCATAATTCTTGTGCTGTCGAGAAGGTAAGGGTAGGAAGAAAAAAAAAATAAAGAATAAAATCTTATGACATCATCAGGTTCTCCTTTGTGCTAGTGGCGTAATAAAACGGGTCATTTTTTACTCTTAGCAGGCCGGTTTTATTAGTTTTTTTTATATAACATAGTTATTTTATGTTACAAACAGAAAATAGGTGAGTCTCATCATTATAAGAAAAAAGAAAAAAAAATATATAGTACGAAAATCGAAGTGAAAAAACATAAGGGGAATATATTAGGTGAAAGAATAATAATATTTCCCTAGTATAAATGACCAAACTTAATTGAACATAAGAAGAAAAAAAATGCAAAATTCTTCCTCAAACTTTGGACCAGTATATATATGTGACGACAACTTCCTTCAAATCTCAAGAGTCTTGAAAAACCTTCGGTCCTCAGTTATTGGACTCATTTCGTTTATATATATCTCTCTAAGAAGAGAGAAAAAAAAAAAACTTATACATCTTCAATGGCGCTTCGGAAACTCTTTACGAAGCGTTTATTCAATGGTTCCAAAACGACGATGCCGTCTACAACATTAGAACACAGAATTGTGTCGTCTCCGCCTCTCCAACAAGCCAGATTTTCTCCGAACCACCGCGAGTACCTCGCCTCGCCGGATTCCGCAGACAAAGGCTTTTTCCGGCGGTTTTTCCTCCGGAGAGCCGTGTACCACTCCGGCCACACGAGGCTCCCGGAATTCCTGTCGATTCCCGTCGGAGAGAAGCTCAGGGAGAAGCTCAAAGGCATCAACAATATCGCCGGCGTCGGAGATCGTCTCAAATTAGGCGACGTTAATCTCACTCCGGTGCCGGCGCAGAGCACCGGCGATTCAGTGTACGGTAATGGAATATCCGTGAAGGATGCGAGGAAGATTCTGAGGGCATCGCAGGTGGAGAAGGTGAAGGCGAAGCTGAGGGACATTCCAGAGAGTTCGATTTGTTACTCTGAGTTCTTGCGGATCTGCGTTGAGTCTTGTCAGAATCATGATCAAGGTGTCGAGTTCGCTAAGATTTTGGATGATTGTGGAAACGTCATCGTTTTGGGGAACGTCGTCTTTCTCCGGCCAGAGCAGGTATTAAGCTCAGTTCCATTAATGAATATAGTAAAATTTATTTATTTATTTTTTATATTAATTATGATAATTAATGAGATCAGCTATAGTATACAAAATTATTTAAACAAAGTTTAATATTTATTATTTAATATATTTTAATTGTATTAAAAAAAATGTCAGATAATTTTTTGTGTATCTAATTTTTAACCTTTTGGAGTTTAGACGGTTGGGTGGGACAGGTTGAATACCAAGGCAACTAATATGATTAAGTGAGGTAATTAATGTCACGTACTTTAAGGAGTATGACATGAGTCTTGTTTTCAATTTTAGTAGTATTTGATTCTCACTCACTGTTTGCTATGGTGGGTGTTCTTTACTTTCCTTAAAAACGTGACACCTGCATTCCATTGCCCTCGGGTAACAGTAACAAAATTTTAGTGCAACCCTGCAACGAATATTCAGTACAATGTGGTGGTATAATCAAGTATTTTAGAGAAATACGTAGTTATAATTTTCTTTTCTTTTTCTTCAGGAATTTTTCAAAAACTTATTTATTGATGTGGAGTGAAAAAAATAATTTTAATATTATAAATATATATTCTTAAAAATACATAATTATAATATCACGGTTTCACTGATTCAAGGTAACGGTGCACTAAAAATTTATTCGGGTAATAGCCCTTGCCTTTGTGTCTTGTGGGCCTTCCTTTTCAGCTTTTTTGGGCAGCTCCACGTTTTAATGAAGGGCTCAAAATATTTTATAATTTTCTAACGGTTAATGGATTTATGATGTGCAGAAAATTTAAAGAAGTATACAGAATTTTATATTGTCATGCATGCATTTTGAAAACTCTGTTTTGAGGTAAAAAAAACTATTTCCATTCCCGTTTACATCAATTAGTGTACTGTTTTGGGGACCGGGTAGCCCAAAATAATGTTTGGAATTGACTAAGGGGCAACTTTGGAAGGGCCATCCATGAAACACTGAAACCTGGCCTCTTTATTCTTTAACCCAAAAAGGCAGAACCATGACAGTGCAGAATATGGGTTTTATATATGTTATGTTGTAGGACATTTCTAGTGTCATGTTACTCTAATACATTTGATGTGGGTCTCACTCAAAAAGAAAAAGAAAACAAGGCAGGTCTCATTTGTTATGTAAGAGTAACATGACACTAAGAAAATCATGCAACATGATATATATAAAACCCATTCAGAATATATAGCCCAATCTGTGGCCATGAAATAGACCCGGTCAATTAATAATATTTATTAAGCTTTTATGATTTTCCATTGAGTTATTTTTAAAAGTTCTTGTGATTCTTCTTTGGGTTACAGGTAGCAAAAACAATGGAGAGCTTAATAGATCAATCAATAGCCAAACCAAACGACCCAAGAAGGAAGGAGCTAGAGCAGATGGAGAGGCAAAAGGCGATGATTGATGATAAGGCAAAAGCCCAGGTTCGAGCTGAACTATATTGTGGGCTGGGCTTTTTGATGGTTCAGACCCTTGGTTTCATGAGGCTCACTTTCTGGGAACTGAGCTGGGATGTGATGGAGCCCATATGCTTCTTTGTTACCTCCATACACTTTGCTCTTGCATACCTTTTCTTTATGAGGACCTCCACTGAGCCCACTTTCCAAGGCTATTTCTATCGTCGATTCAAGGCCAAGCAAGAACGTCTCATGAAGACATATAACTTTGACATCCATAGGTACAACGAGCTCTACAGGGCATGCTATCCGAGTTATCATTCCAGTGCAAAATCTGAACCTTCTTCGCCCTTCCACCATTCAGAAGAGACACTCCTACGAGCCATGCATCGTTGAAGAATTATGTGTGGATATAACTATTTAAGTAAAGTTATGTGATTACCATGGAGGCCACCCTTTCTCAGTTGATAACTAAAATTTTGATTTTAAAGCGGCACTGTTTGAGATCTCTTTCCATTTTCTAGTTAATGCGGAGAAGACCAACAAGGGATACGTAGGATCAACTTATATTACCCAATTCTCAAATTTACAATGAACTTAGTTGGGCTTTGCTTTGTGCATGCAAAGTTGGACATCGTAGCACGTAAAATGGAAAGGCCTTGCATGTGGTTCTTTTCGGCCATTGGATGATCCCATTTTGTGAATCTTTGGGGCTTTTTTTCCCAGAACGATGAAATGGAAGTTGCAACATCTAACTCCAATACCAAGAGTTAAGAGCAGTTTTTTTTTAATTTTTTAATTAAAAATACGTTTAAAAGGGTTATAATAATTAGATCATTTTAGTGGAAAAAACAGGAGAAAAACCAGTTTTAATATCTTCTTATAAGATAAAAAGAGTAATTTTTTTAAAAAAAAAACTAGAAAAATCATATCATTTTTTTAAAATTTATCTAATCATATTGAAAGGAGAAAGAAAGAAAGAAATATAAGACATGTATGTTCTCTTGGAATGAGGATGGCACGAGAAAAGCGTGACTGGGACATTATTTATTAAGAGACGGGATTCAATTCCTTTGGTGTTGACGCCCCGCACGTGATCCCTTCACATACGGCCGAGTGTTTTGCAATGAACAACTGGTTCTGTGCAAACGTAATTCTAATTTATAATCTAGAAAATAAAAATACCACTTTCACTGAACTCGAATCATTAATCCTGTTTTTAAAGAAGAGCTAGAGAAATTTAAAAGAAATGAGATACAGGTAGATTATAGGTAAAAAGGTGTTTCATTTTAATTGACACACCTTATATCATTTTACTCTTATAAAGAGGTTGGATCCACATTTAAAAAAAAAATAAAAAATTACTCTCTCTCCCATTATCTATCTATTTTTCTCACTTATAATGATATAATTTTGTGTCATTTAAAATGATACATATTTTTTCCTATATTTTATAAGAAAAGTTCATAAACGTTATAATTTACTCTTTTATCACTTACACTTTTATATTTTTTTTATCAATTAATACCCTGTGATTTTTTCCTATCAAAGTCCACATTTGTTAGTAATTAAACTAACTTGTTTATAACCCTCGAGGGTAGTTTAGTTGGAAACTAAGCTCCTAAGGGTTTGCTTGAGTCAATGGTTCAAATTCTACCTCAAGCAAATTCTTGGAAAAATTTGGAGATCCACAGAACGTGTTTGTTTATCAAAAATAAAATCTGACCCTAGAAATTAAAATGATGATAAAGTCTACTTGATATGATTAAAAAAACAAAAAAACACGTAAGATGCGAGAACAATAGTTGTTGGAAGGGGAGTGAGGAAAAATTTCACAATAGGCAATTTATAGCTAGATTTGACAAAATGAAGGAAATCACATTAACTACAAAAAAAAAAAGCAGTCACAGAGTGGTGGCGGAGCCAGCCCTTCGTCTCTTTTTTCATTATCTCTATTCCTTAAATTTTCAATATCTCACGTTAGAGAACATCGCACTTGTTTGCAAGAGCAATAAGCACGATGGAAAGTTCTCACATTTGGAAATTAGGTTTTTGACTATTCTTTGTGTGTGCAATAACTCAAAACACAATAGTTCAATGGACCTTAATATTTCATAATTATAGTCCTATTATTCATTTGGTTTCATGATTGTTACTTTCAAGGGTTAAGTGTTTGTCCTGTTAAAGGACACAAATTGTGTCCTTTTAGTTTTAACACTATGTCTTACCGGGAAGACATAATTATAATATGAAAAGTTATTTTTTCTCTCTCTCCACGTCAGCTGAAGTGACTGAGGAAATAGAAAAAAAAAAGATTTTTCATATTATAACTATGTGTACCTGTAAAATATAGTGTCAAAAACTGAAAGGATACATCTTTGTGTCCTTTAAAAGGACAAACCATTTTTCCTACTTTTAAATGGGTTTATTTGGTTTAGTTTGACCCAAATTTTGAAATAGATCAACTAATCATTTTTGTGGTTAAGTTTAGAAGTCTTTCTTTTTTTAAATAATAGGAGTAAGAATAAATAACATAACTAATTAAAATAAAGCAGGAAAAAAAATATACAAGATAAAAAATAAAAAAGGTAAAACACATAAATAACCATACTATACATGTTCCTTATTATTTGTTTGCATTTATATGGTTTCTTGTTATTTTGTATTGAGTATTTGATTTTCTATTTAGATGGTGCTAAATTATAATTTGTACCTTAGTTAATTATAATTAATTATATAATAAGTAAAAAAAAACAAGTAGGTGTCAAGGCACCTGCTAGCTTGGACGTGGCTACGCCACTGTCACAGAGCATTGGCCGCCGCCGGCCCCAACATCAGTATGCAAATTAAGGTCTCTTTTATCTTTCTCCTCATATCTAAACAATTCAATATTAATATTATATTATGAGAAATGATTCCTATACACCATATTTTTTATATTCAAAAATAGAAAAAATGTTGAAATATATATATATATATATATATATATATATATATATATATATTGTAATGTCCCACATCGGCTGGAGAGCGGAACGAAGCATGCCTTAAATAAGGGTGTGGATACCTTTCCTTGTAGGAGGCCTTTTGGGGAAACCCGAAACGTAAAACCGTGAACTCGACGGTGCTTGTGCGCGGGGCAAAGCGGACAATATCCTGCTACAGGGTTTGTGATCATTTGACTCTAGAGTAAGATTTAAAAATGTGGTATGAAATTATAAGAAAATAATATAAGTGATGTGTAAATAATATTTTTATGAAAAATAATCAAACATTAGCTATTTGCCAAATAATGGGGGTTTGATTTAGGAATAATAAAAGAAAAATCCCTTTGTTTAACCTTTTTTTTTTATGTTCTGTCCATTTTGTGAAACCTATAAAAGGGACAAGACACATAATTGTTCTTTCGTGTCTTTATAATGAAGCTAAACTCGCTTATTTGCTGTTGATTTTATATCAGATTAATTAACAAATAAAATAAGAGTAAAATAAACAAGTTAGTTTAAGGGGGTTGAGTTTCTGCTGTTGCAGCAAAACTCACCTCCTTCCAGGAGACACGCTACAATATCGTATATTATATTTTTATTTTATTTTTTTACTAAAAATAGGCCCCACATCAAAAGTTTAACTGCAGCAGGAGATGTGATCTTTTCTATCACAGGAGCACTATAATACCCTTAGTTTAATTACCAATGGTGTTAAAGATGGAGTTGGATGGAATAAAATCACTCGGGTACTTGATAAGAAAAAAAGTATAAGGATGTAAGTGATAAAAGAGTAAAACACATGGAGGTTTATGAATTTTCCCTATTTAAAAAATTAGAAGATATTATAGAGTTAAGATACAAAATATAAAACTAATATAATTTATCTTTATATATTAAAATTAAAATATATTTTCTTGATTGACTTAATTTTTACTTTTTTAAAATAACAATTATTAATTTTATTTTAAAAAAGATCTTAAATTTAAATTTGTATTTAACTATAAATATTTTATTTATAATTATGTAAGAAAAAGACAACAAATACTAAAACAGAGCTTTAAGTAGTCTTTTGTTAGGAATTCATTTGTAGGCGGTAAAAAGTCTCTCATCAGGAATGAAATGGTTAAGTATATTTATATAAGTGAAAGAAAACTCAATATTTAAAGATTTTGGGTTGAAATTTGATATAAAGTTCTTAATTATAAATTTATCGCTTATGCTTGTTTGATATGTGAATAAATTAATTCTCTTATTTTGGCCCTTTGCAGCTGTTCAATGTCTTTAATTATAAGTATTGTTGTTAAAATTTTGATTTATCAATACGTTTTTACGTTTTTATAATTTTTTTTCATCAAAACGATTTTACTAATATTCCAAACGCTTTTACGTTTTTATGATTTTTTTACATTACAATTTTACGTTTTACGATTTTTTAATCCTCTCCTGATTTTACTTAAAATCTCAATTTTAACAACATTGATTATAAGCACGCAACACAAATCACCTTTAACCATTTTTTTAAATTTTTTTGATGGAAAAGGCAGTACTTATTTTTATACTGTATTTAACTAAACTCTTAAAAAGGGTAATTTTCATCACTAAGAGAACAAAATTTCGCAAATTAAAATTTGGAAAGAAGGGAGATGCACGCGTGGAAAAGAAAAAGGAGTGAGAGGGCGGTGAAAGAAGAAAATATTTAGGGTGCTACTAGAATATTGAATATTTGGTATATTATTTATTAAATATGGTAAAAAAGTTAATCTATTTATGTTATATATTTTTTATAATTATTTTCGCCTATATTTTATTTTTTTTATTTTTATAAAGAAATAGGTATTCCACTAAAAATTTATTCGTGAAAAAATATGGATTAAATGACAGAGAAAGGTAGGTGATGTGAAAAGTGCAACCTAGCATATTTGGTTTTTATGCTTTGTTTTGGGCGTCGCGTGGAATAAATGTTTAGTGCATGGTATGCATCGAGATCTTTGACAGACGAGAAATTTTTTTATTAAAAAAAATATAATTATTGAAAAAATGATGGAAAAGTGATGGGAATGGGCAGATCTACTAATTCTTTGATTTCAGTTAGTAAGATAAGAGTTGAACTAAGAAATAGATTCTATTCTAGAAGCTAAAAAAGGGTATCCTGAGCGATTTCAATAATAAGGTTCATTGATATTCCTGGTATAGTAGATGCTATCACACATACAATCATACTCAATTCGATGGAATTGTTTGATCTTAAAGGGGACCCTTCTTATTGGATGACCATGCTGAAGAAAAAAATTTATTTGGTAAACCAAGATATTATTAAAAAAAATTTAATGTAAAATTGCTATAAGTTTGAGTTTGCTAGAAAAATCAAAATACTATCATCAAGGTGGTATTCTTAACTGGACATTTTTCTTCATTTTTACACTACAAATATTTCCCCAACAAAACTATTTTACTAGACAAATTTTTCCTGCTCCATACCAAATATGGTCATTTGCTAACAAACGGACACACACTTTTTTTAAATTTGTGCGTGTCGGACACCGACACGCGTCCAACATGTGGTCAACATTTTGGAATACGCGGTCAACACTCCGACACGTTCTAACACGTTTTTTTGACACGCAGTCAACTTTTTCTAACACTTGATCAATGTTTCGACACGTTTTATTTTTATTTTTTAAGTCTAATTTTTTTTTTTGTATC